AGATTTCTGAGTGGGGCTTGCGTATTTGCCAATCACTTTAAGCCATTTGATGAAAATGCCAAAAAGCTACGTTATTTTTTCAAGCTTAAGCTTGATGAACATGTTTTGACTCTTTTTTTCAGAGCGCTGATTGCTCATCAGCAACAACAAAGTTCTACTTCTGCGGCTTCTTCATAATTTTAATTAGGCACCTTATTTGCAACAGACAACAACAATAACTACAACAATCGAAGACTGACCAAGAGCAGTCGTCAGCATCAAACACGCTGAATCTTCCGCATTTGCTTTCAAATAAAAATTTATTGTTAATTTGCTTTTATTTTTGGCAAAAGCCAACAAAGAAAAAACGCACAAAATGCTATAGAGTAACCATTATGGCTGTCCAATGAGCAATTTTTGAGTGTCAATATTTGGTCAAAACTGAAACATAAGAGGAAGCTTAGATTGTAAACGCATGACTGAAGCAACGAACTTCTTTTACATAATAGCCGAGGCGAGCGAGCTAAGTATGCCTGCTAAAATTTTCTGTTGACATTACAGTCGCTGTGATTGTTGTTGCTGTTTTTGTCACATGCGCAAACAAATGACTTAAGCAACGAACTCGCGACTGGTCTCTGTGTAAACTGAGTGCAATATTTGGCCAGACACACAAAAATAATGAATCATTTGTTTCGTTTACCTCATTTGTTTGTGCATTGTATTATGACGCACACGCACACATACGCGCACAGAACTATGTGTGTGTGTGTGTATGTGTAACACATGACAATAGCAATTTCAATGTCAAAGTTGTAATTGCTTTTCACACAAAAAATACAAATACTAATTTTTGTCGATTTATTTCTTAAGTCTTCATTGTGTTTTGTTTCTCTTTTTCGCCTGAAGTGCACCCACATTTCAGTTTATAAATCATCGTTTAAACAATCGAAAACATTCAAATTTTTTGGCATAGTTTTATTTTTTGGCGAGGCACACAAACAATAAGACCTCTGCCACTTGAAAGTAATTAAGAGAATTGGCATTAAGCCATTATAATGTATACACTTGCAATGGGTATTATGACATTGAGATGATCTATATACCATATATATATAATGTGTATAAGCTGTGTCTATTTGTCAAACAATTTACAGCTATACTCGTAGTCTCAGTACATAGTCAGAGTCAGGAGTGATAGAATCTGAGCACATTCCATAAGATATTCAGAATTATTATTAAAATGATTCTTATGCACCCCTGTCATCATATCAATGAACACTCTTCCATGCTCAGATATGCGTGTCGTAAAATAATCTACAATCAAAGAGCATTTGAAGTTCATTCGTATGCTTTTGATCCAATTTGTGTTCGACCTCTTCGGCTTGGCGTCTTGTTTGTCTCGTGTGACGTCTGTTTTAACACCTTTTTCGGCAAGTCATGAGGCAAAAGAATAAATGCGGGCTCTACAGCACTTGCTACAGCTCATTCTAAGTGGAGTGGACCCGGCCATAATTGAGCTGTCAATGACATCAGAGGGCAAACGCGGATTCCAGCAAACAAAGAACCAGCCGGAAATGCAATGCAACGAAACAAAAAAAACTCTCACAGTGAAACTCACTCCCCCACTCCTTTCTCTCCCTGCCGCTCATATCGTATACTCTGTCGTTTAGGGTTTCCATGCGTCGGTCTGTCACACCACTTTTGTTACAATTTTCGTCAGGTTTTCGAGTACGTTTTTTCATTGTAATTATGCGAAAATGAAAACAAACACAATGTGGAACTCGTCAGTCCTCCAGCGATTCCCCGCTTACTGTTAGCCTCTGAGTCAGCGTCAGTTGGCTGTCTCGAGTGTCGACACCTGCGCACCCGTTTGGGTCACGGGCCAAAAATGTGAAGTCATATGTGAAGCGGGCTGAGGGGTGAGAAGGTGTTTATTCAGCCCTCGGTTCATAAGCCAAAAGGCCAGCAAATGTAATGAAATTTTTTGTTTTATGTTTGCGGCTTTGTGCGTCTGCATGTCATGGTAATTATGCATGAGCATGTGTGAGTGTGTGTGTGACATGCAAATTTGCTTTGTTTGTGTATGTGAAACGGATCGAATATGGGTTGACTGAATGCGCCAAGCCCAGCATGGGAATGCCAAGAAATTTTAAGGGTAACTTGCAGCCCTAATGGAAGCCTCAATAATATAGCAGAGTGGAAGTCTATAAAGACAACCATAATCTACTATCAGCTACAACCTATTATTCATATATATCTTAACTTTTAAAATATCACCTTTTAAAAAAATCCACAGGCCACGCCAACTGCTAAGCACTTAAATCAATTGCATAATTGAATTGATATCTTGCATAATTTCACCTGTTATGGAAATCAATTACAAATATTTACAAGAAATTTTATTAATTACACGCTCAAATATACACGATAAGCACTTAGTGAGTGCCGCACCCTCACATCAAAGAGCGGCAATAATCAAACACAAAATTAAGTAAGCTTTCGCACAAAACAATTTATGCATCTCGAACATTACAACGTACAACATACAATCGAAAGAGAAAAACAAATGCGAAATACTTTCATAGGTTTTTTGAAGCACCTAGCAATGGTAACGCCTACACCTCTGTCTATCCGCAGCCGCAGCCTCCATATGCAAACAAATTAGTGTCAGGCGCGAAAATAAACTTATGAAAAGCAAAAGTGTCTGAAAAAATATATATATGACACATAAGCGCGTAGCGTGAGAGGAGATGATGCAGGCAAAAAAAAGCCATCTCAATATAAATAAATTTGCGAACAAAATAAAAAACTTTTACTTTTCAAAGAAACATAAAACATTTTTGCGCATCATGCAATTTGATTTGCAGGCAATGCTCGTAACATACCAGATGTATATTTGAGTGCGTTTCTGTCAGCAACACCAGCGAACAGCGGCAACAACAATAGCGCCGCACGAGTGTGTTGAACTAATCAAGTTTGTTGCCTAAGTCATTTGATTGATTTTATTTTTGCGCATCAAAAATGCATTTACAGCGTTTTATGCTTGCATTTTGTGCTCCGTTTGGCTCGCGTGGGTGTTCGAATATAAGTAAAAGGCTTTTAAATAACATTAAAAACAATTTGAACATGAGCTGCTAAGCCTTATGCAATGGCCTAAACGACGCCGCCTACTTGGGCCAATAGATTGACTCAAATTGAAAGTACATTTTTGGCTTATTTGCATGCCGATGGCACAAGTGCGAGGAATTTGAATATGCCTTCAAATGCGAATATGGTGTAATTTACTTAAGTGGTTTAAGAGAAAGGATATTTTCTATAGAAAAAGTGTATTTTCTGAGACAGCCTTGGAACAGTCCAAGTAGTGCAGATCTAAGCTCGATATAAAGTGAGCTATCAATATAATATTTTCGAATTAAAAGTTTTACTAGAAAGCGGAACTTAAAATGTAATAAATGTATTTAAAATATATAGTTTGATGATTTCATCAATATTTATTTAGTTTAGTTTTTTTCTTATTTTCCAATTCCTCAATTGACCTCAATTTATATTAAATTTAAGTCAACCGCTCAGTGCGATATCTAAAATTTATGTTTAGTTTCTTTAAATTTACGGCCTCGATGCCCTTCAGTCTTTGACCACGCCCCCATAGTTTTGCATCACAATAAATGTTGCGCAGCAAATGCGCAGAGTCATAAAAATTATCCAAATGCGAAGCAAATTTCAAATTTCAAACACATTTCGGCAGCTCTTTGCGAATTGTAACAGAAACAACGACGACGAAGAAGCAGAAGAAAAGCCCCAAAACATGACTAAAAGGCAGCTGCAATAGGTAATAAAATGTGCGCAGAAATTGGCAAATTTTATGTGCGCAGCGAAAAAATTGCAATTTGTGCGTTTAATTTGGGGCCGCGCTCTACTGCGAACTGTTATGCAAAGTCAAAGAGCTTAACAGCGCTGTTAAAGGACGCTGTAAAGCGAGCATTGCTGTTACAGTTTTGAAGGCATTTTAATTGCAGCCCCCGCGGCCAAGTTAAATGACACATGCGCTTGGCCAAAACAGCCAGCGCTTAACTTGGCCGCGGTCACTTTGTTGCTGTTGTTGCTGCTGCCGCTGAAGACTTTCACTTTGCCGCACTGAGATGAAATGGCTATTGACTCTTTTTGGCCAAAAATAAAACTGAACCAATTAACCCATTAGCGTACGCTTTGAAATAGCTCGACAAAAAAAATACAACAAAAATCTAATGGAAAACCAGAGCACAACAATTTACCAAAATTTTACTAGAAATTTTTTGGATTACCGAGCAAAAAACTTAAGTTACATATTAAAAATAAATAAAATCATTATTATTAAATCAGAAATTTTAAAAACTAAAGTTGCTTAGGAATTAAATGTAATTTTTAAAAAGTTAAATTCCATATTAAGAGAAACTCTAAAACTTTATTATTTAGCTACTTAAGACTTTAACATTTTACGAAAACCAAAATATATTCGATTTTTTCAAGATTAAATTTTAAAAATACTTTTAAGTGAAATTCGACTAGTTCGTCGTACAAAAGCTTCTTCTTTAAAATAAATATAAATGTTATTTAAAAAAAATAACATAAATTAAAAGAATAGGTTATAAACAAATAAATGCATCTACATACTTGTTGTTAATATTATTGAAAATCCTCAGATCTTTAGTCTCAGACTCAAATATTAGCCTACTTGTCTTTTAAAAATATAAAATATATTCATATTTAATGTAGAAGTTTCAAGCATTATGTTATAAAATACATTTATTAACACACATTCCTTTTTATGTTAGTTTTTTGAAGCCATGAAGACTCTCGAGAAATTTCTAAAACCAATTTAGATTTTTAATAGAGTTTTCCAGAAGGAAAATGTGACTCATAAATCCTTTAATAGATTTTATAAACTAGTCTAAATAAATTTATAAAAGTGTAAGTATAAATTTTAGTTTAAAAAAAAATAAAGTTTGTAAGCTTGCTTAAAATAAGGAACTCAAAGTACTCACCGTCTTGCCTGCCTGGGTATGGACTGCGTCCAGCACACGGGCGCCTTGTGTAATTGATGCATATTCCTTGACGATTTGTAGGTCAGATCCCCGCACTCGGTCTGCCACACCTGCAGATTGCCTTCGGCCGGATAGAAGGTGTAGAGACTGTGCGTAGCTGAAGCGATAACGGGCGATGCACCGCCGCTGCCTTCTACACTGACGCCGTCCACCCCGACACCCACCAGCGGCGATAGCGTGGCGCTCGAGATGGGCTGCACGAGCAACGCTGCCTGCCCAGCGGCGGCTGCTGCGGCAGCTGCTGCCGCTGAGCCTGCGCTCGATGCACTGCTCTTGTAGTTGAGCATGCGACTGTTGGCGCTGCCGCCACCGCCCACGCCCACGCTGCTGCTAGTGCAGCTGCTCACGTTGCCGTTGCCGTCGTGCTTCAGGATGAGGCTGCTCGGATCGTAGCCATGTCGTTGCCTTCCAATCGCGTCCACCGAATGCGAGCGCATGGCATGACGCGCAGGCGGTGTCACATGCATGCGGCGCCCCCGCCGATATCCAGCTGCAGCAGCGGCTGCGCCGCCGGCGCCGACGCTCAGGCCGCTGGTCAAGCGATGATTGTGAATGCTAGCGGCGGCGCTGGCAACCATTGGCTGACGTTGCTTTTGATATTGAAGGCGCTGTTGCTGCTGTTGCTGTTTAACCTGCAACTGCTGCTGCTGTTGCTGTTGCTGTTGTTGTTGCTGTTGTTGGTGTTGCTGCTGCTGCAATTGATCCTTGTAGTAATCGCGGCGCTGCAATTGCGGCGCGGCCAAGCTAAGTGCGCCGCGTTTCTCTGTCAGGTTGCTATTGTTGTTGCTACTGTTGTTGTTGTTGCTGTTGTTGCTGCTGGCACCGCCCGTTGCCGCTGAACTAAGCTGCGCCAGCTTGCTGGCATTGTTATTGCTGTTGCTGTTGTTGCTGTTATTTATTTGATGCTCTGAATCGGTTGAAACCCGATCCGGATCACTTTCAAAACCTTCATCAAGGGATCGAGTTGGACTCAGTATGGGCTTGGAGTGCTGCTCCAGTTTAGTAGACGCAGACATGTCCACTTGCCAAGTTAGTTGTGTGTGTATATATATGTATGTCGTGTGTGTTACACTTGGCAACACTTTGCTATAAAAAACTATGCACAATATTGCACTTGTTGCAGTTGCAGTTGCTTTTAATTTGCCATACACTTTACAAATATTACTTGTTTTTCTTTTCTTTTTTTTTCACTGCGAAAGTCGCGCCAAAGTTCGAAATTCGATATTAAATTTTGTTGTTTTTGTGTTTAAACATGCAGTTAGCTGCCGCTCACGTCTGTCTCGCACGAAAGTCGTTCACAAACTGTTCAGCGACAACGGCGCAAACTGTCGATGGCCAGCGACAGACGAAAGCTTCGCGCTCGGCACTTGTTACGAATCGGCATTATTGTTGCTGCACCTGCTGCGTTCATTCGTAGCGGCTCTCTTCACGCCGCTCGAAAAAACAGAGAGAGAGAGAGTGAGTGAGTGAGTGAGTGAGTGAGAGCACGCGCTGCCAACAGCTGTTGTCTGCTGTTACTGAGGTATTCGCGAAATTTCTGAGTACTGAGCGGCTAGCTGTGAAGGTTGACTACGCAGGCAACGGGACTGGTAGCAGGAACAGTTAACAGGGCATAGCTCACACTTTGACTTTTGGGTGCATTATGTTAATTGTTGCTGGCATTTTATAGCAGTGTGCCCTGTTGTAAAATATGATGAAATTAAAAATAAATATGAATAAGTTACGGAAATGTTAGGTATGTGGCATTTAAAATAGTTATAACAAAAGCAACCTTTTGCATTAATAGTTAAAACAGCTAAGCTTAGGAAATTACATTCACACATTGCACACAGAAAACACGGACATTTTCAACCGAACACCACTCCAACTTTTCGGGACACTACTGTGCTGAGCAGCTCAAGCCACTCTTGAAGCTCTCACTCTCCCACACATACACACGCACGCACACAGACAGTACAGCCCAGCTCATTCGCGCCATAAAATTTTTATCAATGAAAACATACGCTACAGCAACAACGACCGGCACAAAACAACCGCAAACAAACAGTTGAAAGCTCGTGCAATAGCTTAAGCCAAAGCTTTTAACACCTGCTGCATAGCTGCATTTTGACTAAGCCAGAGAGTATGAATGAGAGACTGAGAGAGTGACCAAATTTGGTGGCTGCCTACGCTGGCGCTCGAATTTATTGCTGTTGTTGTTGCTGCTGTCGCTGGGATTGCTGTTGTTTTCGACTTTTTTGTTAGTGCTTTCAGTGAACACTGCGCTTGCGGCCTATAGCAACAATAACAATGCAGTCGGCCATTGCAATTTGATGCCGTCAAGCAATCGATGTTGAAGTGGAATGCCCTTACTTTGATTGATTTCCGGGTGCTGCTACGTTGACGTTGACGGCAGCGTTGACAGCGGCAGCGGTTTCATTTTTCGCCAGCGAAAAAGAAAAAGTGACCGAGACAATGGAGAAATTGCAATTGGCAATAACAGCAGCAACAGCAGCTATCTGGCTGAGCGCGAGTAACGAGATTATGCCAAGGGGTCTGCAAAGAAGACTTGAATTATGAGAGCTTTCAAAACGAAGTTCAATATAAAAAGCTCATTTAATAATTGATAAAACTTGTTTTTAGAAATTTTAATTGAATTAATTTTTATTTTTTATATATGTCAATTCAATTTACGCCGTTTCTTGCAGTGTATCTCCAGCGGCGAACGGTTTTTTATGTTGTTTATGCTTCCTTGCTTGTTGCTCTTGCTTTCTTCTGTGGCGGCTTCCGATAACGATAATCATAACTATTGCTGATGCAGCTTTTGTTGTTGCTGCATGGATTTTCGCTTTTATTTAATGCACTTATTTAAAAGAAAATTTTAATAAAGTTGCCAACCTTTTATTTTTAATTTTGTTTTCTCTCATTCTCTGTTTTGGGATTATCGTTAACAGTTGTTGTTGCTGTTATAACAGCAATTTAATAATATAAATTTTATAGTTTGAACACCATAAAAATGTAGATCTTAATTGTGTTTTGGGGCTGTTGCTTGTTATAGGATTACGTGCCGGTATTTTGATTTTAACAGCATGCCCCACTAAATGCTGCTGCTGACCTGCAACGGGCAATTGGATCTAGCTGGACTTGGACCCTAATGCTTACCGTTATAGTTAGGCAACAATTCCAATTACAAACACCCCATAAAGTTCAGCTCACGCGTAATGCACTCAACACTCCATAAGAGAGCAGCAGATTACATTACCTACAGCCGCAGTGCGAGCAAGAGGCACAGTTCGGGCGAGTGCGCGAGTGAGCGAGCTAGAGACTGGAAGTTAGATGGTCCTATAATGCTTTATGATAGCTGTGGGTGTTTTATTGTTGTTGTTGTTGCCGCTGCTGCTGCTGTTGCTGCGATTCGTTTGCGGTTGGCGGCCCAAGTTCAACCGGGTTCAAGACTCAAGCGCAGCCACAAAACTTGTCTGTTAATGAGCGGGGCACACCACCACCAATAGCAACAACAACAACAACAGCACCAACAGAGAAACAGCAATAAATCAATCAAAGTGCAGTGAGACTAGTTCGGTGTTTTATCAAAGCAAAGTTCTTAAATTTTAAAAGCGCACTTAAATTACGTTTAACAACAGATCAAAGTAATTTAATTTAATATGCTTTCGATTTAAGTAGAAATAAGATTCGCTTCGAAATCATTTGTTTTCTTTAAGAGAGCACAAATGCTATCAGTATAAATTCAGAATAAATTGTTATTTCAATAAAGTATAAACAAATATTATTTTTTAAGATATTAAAGTAAATTGTAAGCTATATATCTTAAGATTTTTCTATTTAAATGAATAGTTATGCTAAAATTTTTAAATAAAAAATGAGAAAATTATAGACAAATTGATTCAACTAAATATTAAATTATAATCTATAAATATATATATAAATAAGTTTTTTTTTCAAATTAAATTAAATTCTTTCTTAGTCCATCCTTATATTATAAATAAATTCCAATTACATTTAGATTAATTTGGCAACTATGCTGAGAAGCATCTACTCAATTACCTTAGTAACCTTTATAGATCTATTATTACATAAGATTATTTTTATCCTTATTTTAGCTTCTCCAGCTCCAACAACTATGATGCAAGTCTGCGTCTATTTGAAATATTTTCCAGTTAGTAGGAGCTGCTGCCTCTGTTGTTGCTGTAACTGTTGCAACTACCATCATCTGTTCTGGTGGCTTGCTATGCATCATCCACAGGCAGCCATGCATCAATTGTTGGCAATAAACAACCGTCAAATGTTTACAGCCAGCGTAAAGCCCACAAAACTGTCTCAGACGTTTGTCAACATGGGCGGCAACAACAACGCCACGAGGCAGCAATTGGTTGCAAGGGGGCCGTGGCAGCACCAGTTTAATTACAACTCTACTAGTTATGACAGACGCGGCCAGCAACAACGAATGTCACATAATTTCCACAATTAAAGCATAAACTGAAGCAATGCAGCAGCTGCCGCTGCTGCCGGGCTGCAGATAAGGCTGAATTCGGGAGGCATGAGCTTGGAGTGACGGGGGAGAGGTTTGGGGCGGCACACACTTTGGCAACAGGTGCAACTGGCTATGGCTGCTTGGACCTGAGTCTCAGCTTTGTGGCACACGCATGCGTAAAACGGTTGTTTGTTGTTCTTGTTGTTGTTGCTGTTGTTGAAACGGCAGCAACATGCATGAAATTGTTTGCCTGGCGCAGACAAGAAACGCGCGACGAAAGACCCACAAGCCGGAGACATGTTCTGCCAGTTGCCCGTTGCACGTCGAACATTGCAACTTGCCCCTCGCCCATAGCATGCGACAACGATAACAGCTACACAACCAGCCAGCAACAAGGCGTGAATGCCGTAAGCCCCACTCAGTTGCACACAGCTCCCAAATGCACTCGCACAGTGCTTTGGTGCGCCATTAAAAGGAAAAGTGTAAAGGCCCAGCCCAAGGATGCGCAGATGCGTTACGCATTTCAATCGCCCTAAAGCAATTTAATTAAAAATCTGTTAAGCGACTTTGAAAATGGCGTTAACTGTGGCGTTCTGTTATTAACAGAGAAATGTTTTTCAAGCTTAGAGAATGACATTAACAGGGACATTCTGCTATTAACAGAGAAGTAAATAAACTGTGTTATGTTAATGTAAACCTTAATGTTGTTATGTTATATTAAGCAATGTTATATACTCATAGTATGAACTGTTAACATTTAATGTTATTTGATAGTGTTGATAGTGCTATAATCTTTTTACATATTTTGTAAAATTTCAATTACTTTTTTTTATATTAACGTTCAGCATATTTTGTATTATTTTTAGGAATTTTTACGAAAATGTTATAAATTTTATTATTAATTTTTAAAAGAAATAACCTAATAAAAACTGTATTTTATTTTGTTTTATATTCATACAGTGCTCATAACTCTCGCAACCAGTGTGCAAACGCATCTTGGAGGCTGTAACATCATTACCGTTTGGCCATGGGCCGCTTGCCATTGTAATTGATGTTGTATTAGAACATCATTTACGCAATTGCCACAGTTTGCAGTTGTTGTTGTTATTGATGTTGCTCTTGCTGTTGGATGCTGTTTGTGCTGTAATCTGGTAGCTGATTGTTGGAAGTTTGAGCTGATTTCCTTGCTGCCGTTTTCAAATTTATATCAACTAACGATCGTTCGATAAAATGGCAGAAAAAGAGCCAACGCAGTTATCAAATTGCCTACAAAGAAGAGCTTGGGTAAATGGCAATAGATTCTCGTGCAGTTATACTGTGGGCTGTTGTTGTCCCAAACAACCTTGCCGCAAGCATTAGACGCGAATGGGTATTGAGAGTAATGGTCCATAACGCCCAGGATGAACATGCATGGATACAGGTTGTGATCGCTTATAATACCCTGTAAAGAACATTGATTAGAGCTCAACTCTTCTAGCAAGCCATGTTTAAGAATAACATAATGTTGAGATAATGTTAAGTACCTGTGTGCCAGATGTGCTTGTACTGCTTAATAGAGTTTCATCTAATATTACTGTACTATATCTACACTTAAGTAAATATTCTAGATGCTTTTCAAATATTGACAAAAAAACTTTGGGAAATGATTGAAGCTGTGTTGGAGCTTTATGAAGTGATATATAGGAATTCAACTAAAGATCTACTTTCTATTAAGTCAGCACGCACCAGCAGCACATACTCTTGGCTAATCCACATAGTTCATTCTTTTCGATTTAGCGC